AAATAAATTCAAAACATATCAAACGTTATCAGTATCCAGAATCAGAGAAAGAAAAGAAATGAAAAGAAAAAAAGAAAAGAAAAAAGTTTCTGTTCCGAATTTTGGTGATTACGGGGGGGGGGACACGTCCAACAGGTGCCTCGTTGGAGGTTTCCCAAATGGTTTCATGTGATGGTGTTTAATGGTTTGCACAGAGGGGCGCAGACCCAGTGGAACCGTATTTCTCTCTCTGTCCGTCTGTCCGTCTGTCAGTCTGTCTCTCTCTCTCTCTCTCTCTCTCTCTCTCTCTCTCTCTCTCTCTCTCTCTCTCTCTCTCTCTCTCTCTCTCTCTCTCTCTCTCTCTCTCTCTCTCTCTCTCTCCTGTCTCTCTCATCTATCTATCTATCTATCTATCTCTTCTCTCTTATACCCCTCTCTTTCTCTCTCTCTCTCTCTCTCTCTCTCTCTCTCCTCTCTTTCTCTCTCCTCTCCTCTCCTCTTTATTGACCTGATAGACATGACTGTAAATGCTTCATGTCTTTCTTCTTTCTTTTTTCTTTTTTCTTGGTAGATATGACAGTCGTGTTCCTGGCGCACAACTGAACCCGCAATCTTTCGGGTGCGAGCTGGCATTCGGCTCTCCTCTGCCATGCGAGGGATAAGAACACCGACAGATCCGACAAAAGAAAAATAACAGTCATTTGATGTCGGATTTCGTAAGGCTCTCAGGCGGAGAAGTGCGCTCAGGTCGAGGTATAGAGAGAGAAAGGGGTGGGGGTGGTGGTGGTGGAGGTGGAGGGGAGGGGGGCGGTGGTGGGGTGAGGTGGGGGTCAAGAAGCAGGAGGAGCCGAGACCAGGCTCAAGATGCACGCAATGTAGAGTGCAACTTTGCTGCAACAAAGGCGAGAATTTGCTTCGCTGGGTTTGGTTTTCGAAGAGTGAGGTTCTGCTGCACAGATCCTTTGGAGGAGGAGAAGCAAACCTTAACTGATAAACCAAAATTGATAATGATTTGTAGATTAATAGAGGACGAAGAATTATTAGTTTATTAGAATTAATCATTAATTATCAATTATCAATTATTAATTATTAAAATTAGAATTATTAGTATAATAGAGAACGAAAAAAATAACCATCAAAACCAGAATAACATGTCTAAAATTTTGTCGATTTGACCAAAATATCAAAATATTTGTTTCGGTAACTTCTTCTCAATGCTTTTCTTTTTTGTATATTACGAAGGTATACATACTATTTTTCGTGTAATATCTGATGCATAATCATTGAAAAGGACCTTATTACAGATACGTGAAAACTCAATGTCAATATAATTATTGGAATAAGGTATTTGATTGATAAGATTACTTGATCAAATATCCAATATGTTTTTATGCAGTTCCTTTGATAAAAGAGTATCTTTTTCAGAACAGAAAAAAATTTTGTTGCAAAGATTTCAACTTGCAAGGATCACATTTTTTATCCTAATTATATGTGTGTATGTATATATATATATATATATATATTATATATATATATATATATATATATATATATATATATATATATATATATATATATATATATATATTATATATATATATATATATATATATATATATATTATATATATATATATATATATATATATATATATATATATATATATATATATATATATATATATATATATAATATATAATATATATATGTATATATTATAATATATATATATATATATATATATATATATATATATTATAATATATATATATATATACATATACATATATAATATATATATATATATATATATATATATATATATTATATTATATATATATATATATATATACATGTATATATACATATATATACAAACGTATACGTATACGTATGTATATGTGGATATAGATAGATAGATGTGTGTGTGTGTATATGTATACACACAACACACACACACACACACACATATATATGTGTGTGTGTGTGTTTGTGTGGGTGTGTACACTGTCTCCCCTTGCCTTTGCCATCCCCCTTTCCGATATTCCCCGACGCGAAGACGCGTGTCCATCGCCTCCCCCCTTCCCTACCCCCCCTTATCCCATACACCCCCCCCAGCCCCCCCCCGATGACGTCACAATGCCCTGTTTGTCTCAGACGTCGACGCGGCGCCGATCCATTATGGCGCCGCCGCCGGAGCTGTCGCGATACCCATCACCCGAACGCCGTGCCGTGCCCTCCCCGTGCCCTCACCTGTGCCCTCACCTGCGTGCCCTCCCCCCGTGCCCTCACCTGTGCCCTCCCCGTGCCCTCACCCGTCACCGAACACCGTGCCCACACCCGTGCCAACATCCGGCTGTCTATTGTCTGTCAGTCGCGAGTGTTGGGCACCGCGAGAGACAGCGCTGCGTCGCGTGTCTGATGCTATCGAACTACGGGAGGCCGGAGGGGGAGGAGGGGGGGGACCGGAAGATGGGGGAAAGTAGGGGGAGGGGGCGGAAGAGTGGGGCTTGGGGAGGGGGGGCAGAAGAGTGGGGGAAAGTAGAGGGAGGGGGCGGGGGAGTGGGGGAAAGTGGTGGAGGAGGGGGAGGAAAATTGGAGGGGTGGAGGAAAGAGAAAAGGGGGTAGAGAGGGGGGAAGGAAAAAACGAGAAAGGGAAGGGAGCGGAGAGATGGGAGGGGATGAAGAACAGAAAGAGGGAGATGGACAGGAAAGAAAGGGAAGAAGAAGAAAGGATAAAAAAAAAAAAAGATGGAGGAGAAGAAGAAGAGAAAAGTGGGGGCTGGGAAAAAATAAAGGGGGGGTAGGAGGCATAAGACAAAGGAAAGGACACCGAAGCAGAAGGAGAAGAGGAGGAGAGGAGTAAAAAAGAGAAAAGGGATGCTAAAGAAAGAGAATGGGAGAGAGCAGGGGAGAGGAGATGAGAGAGAGGGGGAAAAGGAAAATAAAGATAAAAGTGGTGGAAGGAAAGAGAAAGAAATGACAAATGATATTAAGGAAGTTTCCGGAATGCGATCACATTGTTTGACAGACGAAAGTGCTGTCAAATCCGTCTCAATTTCAGTGTCGCAACGCGCTTGACAGCTGGCAAGTGACAGGGTCGTAGCTGACAAGGGAGAGGATTCCCGCCTTTTGCATGTATATAGGCACTTATATACATTGTATGCACACACATACACACATACAACCACACAGACACACATACACACGCACACACACCACCACACAGACACACACACACACAACCACACAGACACATACACACACAAACACATACACACGCACACACACAACCACACAGACACACATACACACACATCACACACACACAACAGACACACACACACACACACACACACACACCACACAACCACACAGACACACACACACACACACACACAGATGTGTATATATATATATATATATATATATATATATATATATATATATATATATATATATATATATCGTTTTAGGTTTTTAGTTCTTTCGATGTCCATATTTTCATAATTCAATTCAAGTTTTCTTTTCCTCTGTTTCTCTCACTTCCTTTTTTAGTCTTCTTTTCACTCTTATTTTTATTCCTTTCCCCCTCCCTCCCTCTATGTACGCCCCTACTACATCTCCCTTTATCTTTCTATCTCCTCTTCCTCTCCTTCTCCACGTGTCTCGGCTTTCTTATCTCCCTTTCTGTTATCCGGTTCCATCTCTTCTCCCGAGGCAGAGACACTGATCGCTTCATCAGATTAAAGACAGGAAATGTGTTAATAAAAGTAGGAAGAATCTTTAACAATTTACAGTAATAGTAATTTTTATAACCTCACGGATCGTATTTATCACCAATTTCATCATATATTAATTAAAAGGTGGCTAGTTTATGTATAAAATGTGTTAAAAGAATAGCGTTTAACCTTCTCACGGCATGCTGTATTTTCAAATTCTGTTTAGAAATTAATGATAGTAATATCAGCAATACGAAAATGATGATATGAATATGATTCACGAATATATTTCCTATCATTACATTTATCATTAATGTCATAGATATTATAATAACTATTACTATAATCATAATTATGTCTGATATTTTTTGTTTTTGATTATTATTCTTTATCATTAGTAAAATTAACATAATCAGTATTGTCACCACTAGAATTATCAACATTTAGTCCCATCATCTTCACCACAAATGCCAATATCATCATTAATTATCTTACTATCCTCACCGTCACTATGAACACCATCCACATAATATCAAGTCTAGTTCATTAATAAAAGTGTTCACCGCGATCTGAACACCACTCGCAACTCCGTCCTCTGTGGCTTATCTATTTGTTGGTTCTAATGATTAATTACAAGTTCATTTCTTATTTATACTTGAGGGCTAAATGCAACTGACGTAACTCACTGAGATGTGATTTACTTAGATAGCAAAGACAATTCTAATCATAATATCACAAAGTGTAGCTCAAAACCGGCGCTCGAATTTAATCACTTTCGTTTGGAGGCTCAAGGTTAGCTGAGGCTGAGTGAATAATATCATAGTTATGTTATTTCTTATTTCTTTGCAGTGTAGAATCATCTGAAATAATCTAAAACGAAAACCGATACAATACAATGCACATTATTTACAACTCATCGTGTATAATATTCGAACTCCCAGCTTTTTATTCTCTCTCCTCTCTCTCTCTCTTTATTTTATTTTCTATTTTTTATTTATTTTTTTTATTTTTTTTTTTTTTTAAGCAGAACTTTTTAGGAAGGGGGAGCCTGACTTACAGTCCTTCCAACCCCAACCTCCACCCACATATCTCAATCTCACCCATTTTCTTCTTCTTCTTTTCCTCTTCCTCCTCCTCCTCCACCCCCTCTCCAACCCTAACCTCCTCCTCCTCCACCCACCCCTCTCTCCCCATCCTCCATCCTCCTCCTCCCCCTCCCCCCTCCTCCTCACCACCACCCTCCCAGCCCCCCCCCCCCCCCGCCCGCCCCACCAAACGCCCTCAGCCCAAAGAACTCACCTTCAGGAACTCCAGATTGGGCGCCTCCGCTCGGCTTGCGGGCGTGTGCTTCATGGCTGAGGGAGAGAAGAGCGAGAAATCTGTTTTAGAAGAGTTTTCACCTGCTGTCAATTCGTGGGCCTTTGTCGCTGTTTTTAATCGGGTGGATTAAAAGCGGTAATCCTGAATGATTGATGATGATGATAATGAATGATAGTGGATAATAAGGAGGATAATAATGATAAGAAGTATGCAAATGGTGACAATTATGATGATTATAATGATAATGATAAAGATGATAATATTGATAACAATAATGAGGATGATAATGATAATAAGATGATAATGATAAGAAGTATGCAAATACTAAATAATAATGATGGTGCTAATAATAATAATAAAGGTTATAATATTAATAACAATAATGATGATGATTATGATAGTTATGCTACTAATAATGATTGCAGTGACTATTATGATTATGATGATTGTCTTAATCAAAATAGGGATAATGGGATAATGATAATTTTTGACGTGAAACAACTACTAATAAGAAAAAATAAAGGCAACGACAACGATAACAACAAATATAGTGATTATCATAATTCTGATAAAAATAATACATCACTTAGGCAGATGCATAAACATTGTTTGATGTAGGAGAAGATGATCAAGCTTTATTCAGTTTTTTTTTTCTTTTTTTCTTTTTTTTTTTTGCTTATTTTGTTTTGGGTTATTGTTACTGCCCTTTTCCATTCTGTAAAATGTCTATGTTGGTTTAAGATGATCAATATAAATCTAATGTTAGTTTTTATATTTTCATTTTATCTTCCAAAAGATATATAACAATTCTCATTTTCGTTCTCCCACACACGTTCCCCTCTCCGCTCCTTCTATATATATATTTTGGACCTCCTCCCCCTCCCTTTCCCTTGTATATTCCTCTCTCATCTCTATCTGTCACTTCTTTACGTTTCCTTTCTTCTCTTCTTCCTTATCCCACAAACATTGCCTTCTCTTCTTTCCACTGTTCATGATCCTTCTCCTTCTCTCCCCTCTCCCACATAAACACACTTCTCTCTCTCCAATTTCCCCATTTAAACCTCACCTCTTGCCCTCTTCCTTTACCCACATACGTACCCCATCACTCTTCACCTCTGTCCCTCTTCCCTATCCTTTCTCCCTTTCTTTTCTCCCTTTCCCTCTCCCCTATACACATCTCCCTTCTTTCCTGCACTTCTCGCCACGTGAACATCCCCCCTCTCTCTTCCCCATCCTATCCTACAACAACATCCTTCCTCTCTCCCTCCCTTCCCTCCACACACGACCCCGTCTCTCTCACCCTCCACACTCTCCCCTCCCCTTCCTTCCCCACACAGAAATCCCTCCACTTCCCCACAAATTCCCGTCCCCCCACTCAACACAAGCTTCCCTCTCCTTCTCTTTTCCTCTCCCCATCCCACGCACAGACACCTCCCCTCCCTCTCCACCTCCCACAAACAACACCCCTTCCTACCCCCTCTCCCTCCCTGTCCTTCCTTCCAAGCACACACAAACATCCCTCCCCTCCACCTTCCCCCTTCCCCTCTACCTCTCACTCCCCCTCCCTCCTCCCATCCCCTTCCTCTCTCTCTCCCCTCTCCCACACACACACACAAACATCCCTCCCTTCCCCCTCTCCTTCCCTTCCCCCTCCCCTCCCCTCTCCCCTCCCTCCTTCCCCTCCCCTCCCCCCTCCCATTCCTTCTCCCTCTCCCCTTCCCCACTCCCATCCCCCTTCCCCTTCCCCTTCCCCTTCCCCTCTTCCCCCTTCCCCCTCTCCCCCCCTCTCCCTTCCCCTCTTCCATCCCCCTCTCCTCTCCCTCCAGCACCAATAGCAAATGCGCCGCGCCTTTGGTCATGATTGATCAATATTCTATAGCCTAATCCACTTGTCCAGATCGACCGAGGGAGCCGTAAGTATTGACCCAAAAGGAAGGCGGGGGGGGAGGGGGGGATGTGCGATAGGAGATGGAGGGGGCAAGGGAGGAAGGCGGGGGAGGGAAGGCGGAGGAGGGTGGAGGGTGGGAGGGGGATGAAGTGCGATAGGAGATAGAGGGGGGAAGGAAGGCGGGGGGAGGGAGGGGAAGGGGGGAAGGAGGGGGATGAATGTGCGATAGCGGTTGGAGGGAGGGAGATAGAGGGGAAGGGGGGGTGGAGGGATGGGGGGAGGGGGATGAATGTGCGATAGCGGTTGGAGGGAGAGGAGGGGAAGGGGGACGGAGGGAGGGAGGGAGGATGGGGGAATGTGAGAGGGGGGAAGGGGACAGCGAGAAGGAGGGAAGGGAGGGATTGAGGATGAAGGAGGGAGAAGGATAGAAGAGAGAGATGGGGAGAAGGGAAGAAAAGGGAGAGAGAGACCAAGAAGGGGGATATTAAAGCAAGAAACATGAAGAGAATGGAGAGAATCGAGAAAAGGATTGAGAGAAAAGGAAGACCAGTAAGAAGATAAGAGAACAAAATGTCTCGCTCTTCTTCCCTATCTCTCATTCTTTCAACATTCTTCCTCTCCTTTTTTGCCCCCTTTCACTCCTTTCCCCATTTCACTCCTTCCTCTCCCTTCGTTCCTTACTCTCTGTCTTTCTCGCCCTCCCCCATTTCCTCCCTCCTTCTCTCTCTCTCTTGCTCTCCTCTTATTCCCTTTCCTCCCTCCGTTCTCCCTCTCCCCTTCCATCCTCCAATCCTCTTCTACTACCCTCTCCCATCCACATTCCCCCTCGCAAATACCATCCCTCCCATCCTCCTTCCTCCCCTCCCTCCCTCCCTCCCTCCCCACCCTCCCTCTCTCTCTCCCCTTCCCTCCTCTCCCCTCCCATCCTCCATCCCTTCTCCTCTCCCTCCCTCCATCCACCCCTCTCTCATCTCTCTCCCCCCTCCCACCCTCCACCCGCCCTCCCTCTCCTACCCGCCCTCCGTCCCCCTCCCTCCTCCCCCGCCCCTCCCCGTCGCCGCGAGAGTGTGTGCTTTACCGCCCAGTAAGAACCGGCCTCGGACTACGATAATAGCCCAGATAAGAGATGCTGGCGCTGGCGTAACCTATCAGTAGCCAGGTATGAGGCAGGAGAAGGTGCGAGGTGCGAGGTGTGAGGTGTGAGGTAGGAGGGCCATTGTTGAGGCTGGAAAGAGCTACCGAAGCGTGGTACAATGTGGTGAATTAGAGGGCTTGGGTGGGGGTTTTTGTGCATAGGGTGGGTAGGGGGAGGGAGGGAGGGAAGGGAGGAGAGGAGAGAAGGGGGAGGGGATAGAGAGAGGGAGAAGGGGAGAGGGGGGAAGAGAATGAATAGAGAAGGGAAGGGGGGCGGAGAGAAGAATGAGAGAGAGAGAGAAGAGGATGTGAGAGAGGAGGGTTAGGGAGAGGGAGAAGGGAGAAAAGTGGGAGAGGGAGAAGACAGGGAGAAGAGGGTGGAGAAGAAGAGGAGAAACAATAGCTGGCTTGTTGATTTTCTTTCCTCTCATTCTTTCTTTGCGTTTTATTCTAATTTTCTTGTGGATTCTCTTTGGTAGGTTGTCTGTATATCTACCTATCTATCTGGCTGCCAATTAGTCTAACTACCCGGCTCTTTATCTATCTACCTAGCTGTCCATCTCTCTGTCTAGCTGTCCATCTATCTATCTATCAAACTACCAACCCATCCACGCATTTCCTTACATCTATCACCGCCTTCCATGACCCTATTCCCTCTTATCATATCTATCTTCCACTATTTTCATCACAATTTATCTATCCATCTATTTACAGAAAGCAGAAGGGGGGATTCCCAAGGGCACTGCAGTCGGCTCCTTGATGTGAATTTCTGATTATGTGGTCGTATCGATTCTTCGGATCGATTCGATATTCAACGGGGGATCTCCCTTGCTTCGGCCGCGTGGTGTGGGAGGCGGGTTCACAATGCATATGCAGCTGCTCTGGCTATCGTGGTCTGTCTCTCTCCCTCTCGTCTTTCTTTCTTCCTTTGGTGGTTTTTTTTTTTTTCTCTTTCTCTCTCTTTCTTTCTCTTTCTCTTTCTGTTTTGCTAGTCTTTTTTCTCTCTGTGTTTCGATGGTTCTCTCGCTCTGTTGTTTGCTTGTTGTTTTTTTCGTGTAATCTTTCTTTTCTTTTTTTTTTTTTCTTTCTTCTCCTCTCTCTCTCTCTCTCTCTATCTATCTATCTATCTATCTATCTATCTATCTATCTCTATCTCTATCTCTATCTATCTATATCTTCCTGCGTGTTAATGTGTGTATGGACATGCTTGTGATTATGACAGTGAAACCATATTGTCCTCCTATTAAGGTTTTCGCCAATAAGACTACGGAACCTGCACGCCTGATTTCACCTGGTGCTGCCTAAGAGAATGAAAGAGTCAGTGAGAGAGAGAGAGAGAGAGAGAGAGAGAGAGAGAGAGAGAGAGAGAGAGAGAGAGAGAGAGAGAGAGAGAGAGAGAGAGAGAGAGAGAGAGAGAGAGAGAGAGAGAGGAAAGAGAGAGAGAGAGGGAGAAAATGAGAGAATAAGAGAGAGAGGGGTGGGGAGAATGAGAGGGGGGAGGGGAGGAGGGAGATGAAATGAGAGAGAAAGAGAGAGAGAGAGGGGGAGGGAGAGAGAGAGAGAGAGAGGGGGTGGATAAGGAGAGGAATGAAAGAGAGAGAGAGAGATAGAGGGGGGACGGGGGGAGAGAGAAAGAAAACGAGACAGACAGAGAAAGAAAGACATGAAAAAAGAGAGAAAGAAAAGAAAGAAAATGAATAAAGCAGAAAAAAAAAACGAAAAACAAGAAAGGAAATAAACAACACATGTTCCACCCTCCCTACACCCTCAAGTGCACCAAAACCACACACAGTAGCACTATAAAGCAACCACAGCCCAGGACGCCCACTTCACACCCATAATCTGTATGTGAAAGTGACAGGCGGGAGGAAAAGCCAATCCTTCGACCGCCTATTTCGGTCTCCTTCTAAATAGATTTTAATGGCTGGTATTTTTCAGCTTCTTTTGATATTCCTTTCACTGCTTTGTGTAACATCTTTTCATTTTTGTTGTTGTTATTATTATTATTCTCTTCTATATGATTGTTATTTTTATGATTGTTTTTCCATTTTTTGTCTATCTGTTATCAAATTTTCATTTTTATTATTGTTATTATTATTATTCTCTTCTATATGATTGTTTTTCTATTTTTTTGTCCATCTATTATCAAATTTTCATTTTTATTATTGTTATTATTATTATTCTCCTATATGATTGTTTTTTCCATTTTTTTGTCCATCTATTATCAATTTTTCCTTTTTATTAGTTATTATTATTATTCTCTTCTATATGACTGTTTTTCTATTTTTTTGCCATCTATTATCAAATTTTCATTTTTATTATTGTTATTATTATTATTCTCTTCTATATGATTGTTTTTCCATTTTTTTGTCCATCTATTATCAAATTTTCATTTTTATTATTATTGTCATTCTCTCCTTTATGACTGTTTTTCCCATTTTTTGTCCATCTATTATCAAATTTTCATTTTTATTATTATTATTATTATTCTCTTCTATATGATTGTCTTTCTATTTTTTGTCCATCTATTATCAAATTTTCATCATTCTTGTTTTGTGTGTGTTTTTTTGGTATTTCTCGTTTCATTTGTCTATTAGGCGCGCGAAGGTGCAGAGACAGCAACGTGTGAAACAGCTTAAGAGGAAAATTATTCTGAACACACAAAACAAAATCTGATTTTTATATTCTGTCTGCGTCCATTTTTCTGTTATTTTCCATTTAGCTTCTTACATTTTATTTATTTTGTTTTATCTTATATCTTATTTATTTTTGTTTTATCTTATATCTTATTTATTGTTTTATCTTATATCTTATCTATTTTGTTTTATCTTATTTTATTTAGTTTTATCTTATATTATTATTTTGTTTTATCTTATATTTCTTATATCTATTTATGTTTATCTTATATCTTATTTATTCTGTTTATTTATTCTGTTTTATCTTATATCTTATTCATTTTGTTTTATCTTACATTTCATTTCATATCATTTTTTTTCTGTGCTATTCTGTTCCATTACACGATATTTCTTTTCTCCTTTCTTGTTCAGCAGTCAAAGGAATCCAGTCTTGAAATCCCAGCCACAGTGTAGACAACCTGCTCTGTCCTCCTACACCGGGCACTAACACTACACCTGCCCAGAATACACTCAGGGAATCTTAAAAGCTGTCCTTTACCCGTGTTCGCCTTTTGTTTGTTTCTGATCAGTTCTGAAATTGCAGGTTTTCGTTTCTGCGGGAAACGGAAAGTTGATTTGTGGGAGCTTCCTTTATTTTTTTTTATTTTTTTTTTTTTTTTAGGTGTAATTGTTTTATTGTATTATCATATATATTATATATATATATATATTATATATATATATATATATATATATTATATATATATATATATATATATATATATATATATATATAATATATAATATATATACACACACATATATAATATATATATACACACACCACACATACCACACACACCACACACAAACACACAATAATAATATATGGATATCACACTGAGTATATCTATGTATATGTATACATATACACCATACACACACACACACACACACACACACACACACACACACACACACACACACACACACACACACACACACACACATATATATATATATATATATATATATATATATATATATATATATATATATATATATATATATATATATATATATAATAAACTTCTTGCATAACCATTCAACAACCAAAGACACTTCTCATTTTCCTGGTATTTTGTCTCTGTGGCACTCCATCTGTCCCGGTTCTTCGTCCAGCAATTAACCGTCCAGACAGCGTATCCCGGTACCCTATCCCAGTAGAACAGCGTGGCATATCCTCCTAGTAATCTATCCCAGTATATTTTTCTAGTACCCGGTATCAGCATCGCGCTCTAGCATCCTTTCTCGGTATTTCTCCCCGGTAACCCCTCCCGGTACCTTTTTCCAGCACCCGGTCTCCACGTCTGATTCCGGTAACGGTAACCCCCGGTAATTTCCAGCACCCGGTCCCCACGTCTGATCCGGTACCCCACCTTTTTTCCCAGCACCCGGTCTGCTGATCCCGGTGGTACGAATCCCGGTAGTCGTACCTTTCCCAGCACCCGGTTTCGTACGCACCACGTCCCCGGTACTCCCCCAGCAGTCTGTCTGATCCCGGTAACCCCCCCCCAGTACAGGTCTCCACGTCTGATCCCGGTAACCCCCCCAGTACCTTTTCCAGCACCCGGTCTCCAGTCCCGGTAACTACCCCAGTCTCCACGTCTGATCCCGGTAACCCACCCCAGTACCTTTCCCAGCACCCGTCTCCACGTCTGATCCCGGTAACCCCCCCAGTACCTTATCCCAGCGCCGTTCCTTCACTATCTTCGTCCAGGAACGACCCATCCCAGTAAACAAAACACCCGAGTACACACCGGCCCAGTATTTCGTTCCGGCGGCGCCCCCAGGACCTCCCCCCCCTCCCCCCCCCCTCCAGGTGCGCCCCGTCCCGGTAGATCGACCCGGTACCCAGAGCGGCGCCGGGTGACCACGAACTCGACCTTTGACCCCGCGACAGGAGCTCCGTGGAATGTTAATGACTATTGTGTAGAGTCACTGTGTGTGTGGTGAAGGGGTCGCTGTGGTGGTGGTTGAGGGTGGGATGTGGTGGTGACGGTGGTGGTGAAATGGTGGTGACGGTGTTGTGAAGGGGTGGTGATGACGGTAGATAATAGTTGGTGCGGTGTGGTGGTGGTGTTGTGAAATGGTGATGGCGGTGGTGTTGTGAAATGGTGGTGATGATGTTAAATAGTAGTTGGTGTGGTGGTAGTGTTGCGAAATGGTGGTGACGGTGTTGTGAAGGCGTGGTAATAGTTGATGATATATAATATAATATAATAATATATAATAGTAATATGATAGTAAATAATAGTTGGTGTGGTGTGTGTGTGTGTGTTGTTGTGAAATGGTGATGAGGTGGTTTTGTGTGGTGATGTGGTGGTGGTTTGTGTCTGATGGTGGTGTTTGTTGTGAATCGGTGGTGATGGGAATGTTGTGAAGTGTCGGTTATTTGTACCGTTGACGTGTGGTACTACTGGTGATGTATAATGGTGATGATACTGGTCGTTGTGCTTCGTGTGGTGATGATGATACTCCTATACATTGATGGTGATGGAGTTCCTATGGTGTGGCGGTGATGGTGATGAAATATAATGGTAATGAGGTGGATTGTATGGTGTTATGATGATGATCCTGTGTAGTGGTGATGATGATGGAGTCCCTATGGTGTGGCGGTGATGGTGATGAAATATAATGATAATGATATGGTGTTATGATGATCAATGGTGATGAGTAATGCGGGATGGTGGCTGTGTAGTGGTGATGGTATGATGGTGATGGGTAATAGATGGTTTATGATCTTGTGTAGTGGTGATGGTGATGGAGTCATGGTTGGCGGTGATGGTGATGAAGAATGATATGAGGTGGTTTGTATGGTGTTATGATGATCCATGATGGTGATATTTCATGGAGAAGGTCGTGGAGGTGGCTGTGGTGGTGATGTACTTTGATGGTGATGGTTTCTGAATGTTTTCATGAAAATCATCACCATCACCATTTTATAGGGTTAATAATGGTTCATTTTTGGCTGTAAATTTTTTGTTTGTTTGTTTGTTTGTTTTTCCGCTGAGTTTGGCTTTGATTATCATCATTATCTTATCATTTAGTTATTCCGCTTTTATTTATTTTTTCGTTATCATTCATAATCTACTGAACTTTATCTTCGGCTCATCTAAGCTTATCAATCACTCATGAAAGATGATATCAAATCCACAATCTTTTTAATATTACTATTATCTACTGTTAATAGCATCTGAATCTTCTCCTTTCTTATTGTATAATCGAAAAAAGGATTTTTATTTCAGATGAGAAATAAAAGTGATAAATCTAAATCAGAGTTGTAATAACTCAGAAAATATAACGATTTGATTAATGATATGAAGCAATGAAAAGGATGTTAATAAAAAATGATTAATGAAAATAATGATGAAAATAATAAAGATAAACTGCGATAATAATGAAAATGCTAGTGATTATGATGGTGGTGGTATTAGTAATATTAACGAAATATAATGATAATGATAATGAATAATAATAATAATAGATAATTATTTATTAATTATTATTATTATCATATGTTATTATCATATATTATTATTGTTGAAATTTATAATTATTATTAATTATTATAATTAATGATTAATATTATAACAACAACAACAATAATGATGACAATAATGCTAAAAAGACTAATAATAATAAAGGCTATGATAATAAAATAAAAGAAAGAGGACGCTTCCCTCCCAGTTCCACCTGCCAAAGCCCCTCAGCCCCCACCCCCCACCCCCACCCCCGCCCAGCCCCCGTCTTTACCTTGCTGGAAGTAGTTGCTCTTCCTGACGTAGACGCAGACGAGGGCCATGAGCTGCAGCTGCGACAGCCTCTGGCGCGTGGACGCCGGCAGCGGCAGGAGGTCGCGCAGCTGACTGATCTCCGAGTTGAGAAGGTCGCGCCGCATCTTGGAGGCGCCCTTGGTCGACTTGGTGCCCTCGAAGCTGTGGGAGAGGGAAGGGTACGTGTTAATAGGGATATATATGTATGGTATTATATTACATGATGTATGATATTTGTTTATATAAATGTGTATGATTATCTAAGTTTATGGGGTACATGTATTTGTACTTGGGTGTATGCAGTATTGTACATGCGTATATCTACGTATATGCTTACAAATTTCACTTATAGGTGCACATATATATACTGTAGATACGTGCATACGTACACACAGACATACAACATACATACGCACATGCAATAGTTAATTATTTTGTCTGCTGTACCCACTTCATTCCATCTTTTCTTTCCAAAGGCATTTCGCTAATACGCCTTGTTCCCTTCTTGTACTTTTTTTCCTAAAACGTCGCTATTCATCACAAACTCTTTAACTTCGAGACTTTAGACAAAAAAAAAAAAAAAAAAAAAAAAACTTCTCCCCACCAAAAGATAAATTTTCTTTTTCCTTCTACCCACTTTTTCCCTTTTTTTCTCCAATTTCGTTCTTTTTTCTTCTCCTTCCTCCTCTCCTTCCCCTCCTCTTTCTCCTCCTCCTTCTTTCCCTAACCACGCCCTCTCGAAATGAGTCTTTGATGAGTCTGTGAGATTAGTGAGCTTAGTTCGGAGGCTGTTCTCTGCCACGCCCTCCCACGTCTCGTTTTCATTTCCAGAAAAATGGACAAGAAGAAAAAGAAAAAAAGAAAATGATAATGAGAAGTAGAAAAGGAAGGAGAAAAGGTTAAAGAATAGGGATTTTTTTGGAATTTAATGTTTGTTCAATGATAGAAAATCAAAATATTTAGAGATGTTTTTTTTTTCTTGACAATTTTATGAGTGGGAAAGAATCAAAAATCATATGGACAATTTTTTTTTTTCAGTTTTTCGGTCGTGTAAAACATCCAAGAAAGGAAAGAGAAATAGAAGGTTAAGACAAAGAAAGACTGAGAGTGAACAATACTCATCATTTTTACCATCATCACCATGATTATGATTAAGCCTTTCAGTAAACCTACAACATTGACTTTGTACCCAGGACCACGTATGATTCTCGATTTTGATGGAGATGGTGATGACTGTGATGATAGTAATATAAAAATCATGATAATAACGGAAATACTAATCATAATGACAGTATTATGGTAATGGTGGTAATGATGATAGTAATAACAAAAATCATGATAATAACGGAAATATTTGATATAATTGTAATGACAGTAACAATATAATAACAATAATAGTGATGATGTTAATGATGTCATAATAGTAGTGGGGATAACAATAATCATGATGATAATAGTAATGCTTATAATAATAATAATAATGGTAATAATATTGATAATAATGATCATGATATAATGATAATGCAAATAATAATGGTAATAATGATAATAAAAATAATAACAATGCTAATAACAATAATAATAATAATGAGGATGATAATGATAATGATAACAAAAATAACAGTAATGACAATACTCATGATAATAAAGATAATAATAACAATAACAGTAGCAAAGACAGCATCGACCACCCATAAACCCCTAAGCAGCATCAACATCCCCAGCAACAACAACAATAACAACCTAAACAACAACAACTTCAGAAAAGCATCAACAACAAAAACAATATCTATTTCAACTATAAAAACATCATCAAAAAAAAGTAATAACCACTCCAGCTACAGTAACAACAATAACACCAAAACCCCCTTCAAACTACAACACCAACATCGAACGGAACCCAAAACGACCAGCCAGTAAAAAAAAAAAAATGATAATAAGCTTAAAAAAAAAAATAGAAAAAAAAAAATAGTTCGTGCCGCCAGCATCCCTGTCGAGATTATGTCAATACGAAGATCACGAGCATCATCATCCTCTGCCTCCATTTCCTTCATCCCGCGACGCTTTTGGGGAAGCTGGGGGTGGGGGGGGGGGGTTGGGGGCCGATTTGGAAGGGGGAGAGAGAATTAGAAAGGGAGGAGGGTGGGGAGGAGGGAGGAGGAGAAGGAGGAAGGGAGAGGGGGAGGGAGAGGTTGGAGGGTGGAGGATGGGTGGGAGGAGGGAGAAGGAGGAGGGAAGGGTGGGAGGAAGAGGGGGGAGAGGTTGGAGGGGGGATGGAAGGAGAGGGAAGGGTGGAAGGGGGAGGAAGGAAAGAGAAAGGTGGGGTGGAAGGAGAGGGGAGGGAGGGAGGGAGGGGAAGGAGGGAAGGAGGGAGGAGGGCTGAGAGAGAGAGAGAGACAGAGACAGACAGACAGACAGACAGACAGACTGAAAAAAAACAGCAAAAAAAATAAAAAACGAACAAACAAACAGCCAGATAAACAAGGAAACGGTGATATAAACAGCGTCGTAATCAGATTAAATCGAGAATCGTGAGAGGGGATGAAGAAGGAAACCGAGGGACGGTTAGGGCTGTTGTCGTGTCATGCGTGTGTGCGCCTCTGACGTCTGTGTTCGCTCCTCCCTCTTCGGCTCTCGCTTTTTCTATCCTTCTTCTTTTCGTCTTCTTTCTTTTCGCTTTTCTTTTCGTCTTCGTTTCTTTTTTCTTTCTTCTTTTTTTCTTCTTCTTCTTTTTCTTTCTTCTTCTTCGTCTTTCTTCTTCTGTTTTCCTTTTCTTCTTTCTTCTTCTTCGTCTTCTTCTTTTCGTCTTTTCTTCGTCTTTCTCTTCTTGTCTTCTTCTTTGTTTTCTTCATTTCTTCTTCTCGTCTTCTTCTCGTTCTTCTTCGTCTTTTTCTTCTTTTCTTCTTCATTTCTTCTTCTTCTTCGTTCTTTTTCTTCGTCTTCTTCTTTTCGTTTTCTTTTCTGTACCTTCTTCTTTCCTCTTTTTCTTATACTTTGTATTTCTATTTTATTTTTCATTTTCCTTTTTTTCTTCTTCTTTTTCTTCCTCGTCTCTTTTTCTTTTTCGCTTCTTCTTCGTCTCTGTCTCTTTTTATTTTTATAGAAGCTGTAATGATACTGATCATAACGACGATCACAGGAATGAGAATACTAGCAACAGTGATCAGTATTGTAATTATTGTCATCGGTATCATCAATTTTAATTATTTTTCGAATCATTACCGATGTACCTTCAATTTTCCGGCACAAAGGAACGTGCCAGATTATACGGTTTGCCGGACGAAGAGATATCACAACGATAACCATTTTGTAATATTCTTCTGGCTACTTCGTTACGCAGATCGTGTCCGGATTAAACGAGGTGCCGGATTATCGATTGCCGGAATATCGGTGGTGCTCCCGATAACGTTAAAAATGATGACGATGATTAATGATAATCTTATCAATCTCATAAAGAATAAGCTTTTAAATAATTTTCTTCTATGAGTGTGTTCATGCTTGTTTGTGTGTGTATGTGTAGATTTAAAAACATGTGCACGACTACATAAACAGACACAATAACAGTAAATAAATGAATACTAATAAATAAATAAATAAAACACACATACACATAGAAGTACAAGAAAGAGAAAACAAGTCGCTTAAAAAAAAAAAAAAAAAAAAGGCGAGCTCTGGCAAGGCGTGGGGAGTGTTGCCTTTGTTGGGTCCCTCCTTTTCGGGCTTCCCTCGGCCGAGCGTTCACGCCGAAGAGGTTCAAAGTATCACTCAGCGAAGGTTCAACACTCAGCCCTCGGATTCGCATAGCTGATTGGCTGATCACATACACTGGGCACTCCGCGATGCAATGGCCAATTTAACACGTGTTGTTTTTTTCGATGTTTTTATCTTTCTCTTTCTTTCTTATTTTTGTGTGTTTTATTTTTTTTTTTTGTTTTCGTTTCCTTTTTTATTTGTTTGATTTCCTTTTCTTTGTTTTTTTTTCTTTGTTGTTTCTTTTATCTTTATCTTTTCTTTGTTTCTTTTTATTGTATTTTATTCCTTTCGTCTATTTTTGTTTTATTTAGTTTATTTCATTTTATTTACATTTTCTTTTTCCGATATTCTTCTTATTATCTTTTGTTTCTTTTTTACTCTCCTTCTTTCTTTTGTAAGATCATCTGTGTTTGCGAGAGACCTTTTTTTCCTTCTTTTATCTCTTGTTTCTTTCTTACTTTTCCTGAAAAAGGTTTCGGAGACTTAATATGCAAAGTAGCTCGGATGAAAATGTTTAGTTATCGAGGTGTATTTACCTTTTTTCCTTCTTTCTTTCTTTCTCCCTCTCTTCTTCTTCTACTTCTTCCTCCTCGTCTATTCATATCTCGTTTTATCCCTCCCCTTTTTTCCTCTCTATTTTTCTTAATCCAAGATCTCGCTTCGTTTAAGGTGAATGTTGCAACTATTTTTCTTTTGCCTTCTTTTCAGACACTCATGTTTGTTTACCTAAAATTCGCGGTTCAAGGACAGCTGTCTGCAAATACTCATAGTACGTGTCAACATTGCCACGTTATGTCATCTCTCGTTCTTCCAGTGTGTGTGTGTGTGTGTGTGTGTGTTTGTGTGTGTGTGTTGTGTGTGTGTGTGTGTGTGTGTGTGTGTGTGTGTGTGTGTGTGTGTGTGTGTGTGTGTGTGTGTGTGTGTGTGTGTGTGTGTGTGTAGTTTTCTGCTCATGTGTATGTATGTGTGTGTAGGTGTAGTTTTCTGCTCATGTGTCTGTATGTGTCTGTATGTGTAAAACATATATAGAGGTACCTCATCAGTATGCATTTTGTTTAATTTAACTGCAACGTAAAGTGGAAGATAACTATATACTTCTTTCGTTTATGCATCTCAGTATGTATTTAAATAAATAAATAGATGAATATAAATGTGTTTTTCTATGTGTGTGTGCAAAATATATGTATATATTGTAGGTACTTACTATTGATTTTATATTTCATGTTTATGCTTGCTATGATTCATATTAAGCTATGATTCCTATTGCTATTTTTTAAAACTTTAATTCGTGGAACAAAGTATTCTAAATTTGAATCTGTTAACTTTTCATGGCTTTCGACATACACACACATAGACACACATAAGCAGAAACAGATATATACATTCAGTGATAAATAGATAGATAAATA